GCTTTTTATCGGCAGAGGCGTTGGGGGCGCTTGCTTCCTCTAGGGAGTTGAAATTCATTTCGGCTGGTACGTGTCAATGCTGGTGGCCATTTTCTTTGTGACAAGCTTGACGTGGGCTCAGGGTCAGTCAGGAGCGGGGACGGAATGGTGAGACCATCGGGTAAGAGTGGCTGAAATACGTTGCAGAGGCGGATTCGGGGACGTAAACACGCGATCGACACAAAGACAGACGTCGGAGTGTTGCAAGCAGGCAGTCGTCATCGTAAGGACAGGGTGTCAATCGTTTGACAGTCGGCCGTATGCTTGAAATGAACCGGCTAGATCCCGGAGTGAATGCCACTTGAATGGGAGCCGGCAAATCTCGGAATTCAGCGAGAATCTGGGGCGAATAATGACCACTATCTGCAATCTTCTTAATTATGAAGATTTGATAACCCGATATATTCAAAGCACATATTGATTTTGTGTTGTAATCTAGAGTGGCAAATAGCCGTATCACTTCCGAAACTGACGGCGACCACAGCACTCCGAGGTACAGAACTTTTGAATGATGAATCTCGCTGCTTTATTTGGTCGTGGTTGGATAGTGTTATCGTAATGATATACGATTTTTGGCGCGACAACTTGTTGACGTATATCAGCGATAGTGGTTGAATCCTCTAGCAAAAGAGTTGATGGCGACGAGCCAAAAAGTAAGCTCTCATCAGCCCTTAAACAACCACGAATTGAAATCTGGTACTGCAGTATGATTGGATGCCTTGAGCAAGTAGGTATCTTCAATTTGTGCTGGTAAAGCTCTTCCATCTGTAATGCCCCTCGTGGTGTCATCAGTGTTTCCACGTTAGATTATCCAGCTTCTCAAAGCAAGCTCTTGATGAGGGAATACGGATGGTGATCAAAGTTGTCGCGCATTCCGTGGCGAATGATCTAGAAGTATCATAAGTGCAATTTTAGAATACTAAGCATAAAGACAAACATGATAGGCTTTGTGATGATAATTGTCATCCGATGGATAATAAGTTTAATCCATTTTCTCCATCAAAAGGTTCAATTCATAGAACTTAAGTGGGGGGTGCTTTGCGCCATATAGTCGGTGTAACTCTCAACAAAATGTATTATGTGACTGAACCTTTGAGAGAGAATAAATTCGGACAGGTGACTTTTCCTCTCCAGCCACTTTTTCTCATTTCTCCATTTTCCGCAGAAAACCAAGTCTAGACAATCAAGCCCAGATCAACAGCTCCGCCGCCCAGAGCAACTAAGCCAGCCCTGAAAGCCGGGTCACCCCAAAAAATCCCACATACAAGAAAACGGAACCGGACTAGACTGCCTCTGCCAGGGCGCGTTTCCGGTCAAGAGTTGCTGTTGAGGATCCCAGCGTTGTGGTCCATCAACGAGACAGTGCGACCAAAAATTGTGTCTATGGACTAGCCATATCTGATGCAGACAGGCCCAACCAACAGAATCATCTCCGGAAGCGCACGACCGCAACATAATTTTGCGCGGCCTCTTAACCCTACGCGTTCCCCCTCAGCTTTTGTTATAGCTGTTGAAATCGAGGCTATCGACTACCGCCGCAGCTTTGCAGATGCTAGAGAATATCTGATTTGTTGCTTATCGAAGATGTAAACCAAACATCCATGAAAAAAATTTGAACGATACTCTGCCTGCTGCTCTGATCGCGACGTTAGCTACGGAGCATTTGTGGCTCAAGACTGTCGCGCCCTTCTTGCTACGGCCGACAATGAAGACAAATCATGCGTTGAGGGTGCTAATTAAATAGCATTTGAGCTCTCTGGACTCACCGAAGCTAGTTGAGTACTCCCCGAAATCTGGCGTGCGTATGTCACTTAGGTGAAGATTGCAACGTTGCTGTGACCAATCATTCAAAAAGGCTGATTATGATATTCAATACTGTCGTCAAGTCATCGGCAAATCCGGCTACAATATTCATCTGCCCCAGCTTTGACGGCAACATTGCTAGTAACATCGCAATCGCGCGGCTGGTGCTACCTATGCCCGACGTCGTTCCTCATCCTGGCGTCTGCCCTGTTGGGCTTTTAAAGTACTTGCGAGGTCACTGCTTTGCAATACATGTCACCAGTCACAAAGAAGTCATTATTTTAGAAACTGGTATTATGCCGATCATATCGGCAACCTATTGTTTTGCTCTATCAGCTTCATACCCCCAATCAAGGTCTTTCAAGATCCAAGAACGTAGTAGCTACGCTCGAATCCAGTGCTCGACTTTAGAAAATTTGTAAATACCATTCAGTGTATACACAGAGAAGCCACTCGTACCTTATCATACAGACTACCTAAACTCTGGCACACTAACTCGATGGTTTAGCTCTTAGCCGAGAATTAGCCCGATCGTCACTGGCTTTTTATATCCAAAATCGGTCTATTCATTCTTACGAAGCCCGAGTACAATAATGGAAGACAATTGAAAGACATTTTTGCGCCTGTACAAGATAATCATCATTTTAGAAAATGAAAGTCATTTGCTTATAAAATTTATTCACAAACACTAGCCTTTTCTGACTACGGATGGGCGCTATACATTAATTAATATCGCCTCAGTCTGGCTATAGAAGGGCTAATCATATCTAAATGTGAAGACTTTTCGAGCGAGAATAACGCAGTGCATGATATAAGACAGATTTCATCTAATGAAAAAGACGATTTCGCCTGCGCTTCATTAACGTGTTCCATGGTTTTATTCACGACGACTGATAAATGTGCTGTAACAGATAATTGTAACAAGCATTTTTTAGAAGGCAAGAAGAGGAGCACCAACGGTGAAGGTACTGAACACAATCATCGTCAACAATGAAGGAAATTCAACATAAACTAAACTCGGTGTTTGCCGATTCACGGCTGCGCATCACAAGTCAAATTTCTTGACTAGGCAGGCGTCCGGGGATTCAATCTGTGATAAGCTTTCGATTTTCTGACTTGCATCAATATTGCATATTGGTACAAAGAAGATTAAATGGACGGAAAAAGTCCCAATCGACATCCTTACTGTCATTACGGGCGAGGAGCCAAATGCCAAGTTGAGGACGTATGGGCTATTTAGAGAAGGATGTCATAATTCGTTAGAAACGTGATAAAGCACGGGTATACCTACCCCGTATGAGGATATCGTGGAAAATGCTCTAGAACGTCACGTCCTATACTCAAACCGAGACCCTATTATGAGTTGACTTCGTTTTGGAGCATCACTTTCCAAAGGTGGCTAATGAAAGCTTAAGGCAAAAATCGTCATATTCTTAATCAAAGCAACCACGTCGTAAATTTTGCTCGACGTAGGCAAACGGTGACTCCATCCGGAAACGTCAAAAGGCTGTGCTAGCAAATTTCTCGGATATGGCATTCCTCCTTTCAGTCCCGCACCCAAGAGTGCATCTAAGAGCTATCATGCTATTTCGCAGGGCCTGTTTTTTTTTTTAACTTAGTAGTCCTTGGGTAATCGCCCCGTAGCCGGTCTAAAAAAAATAAAAGTCCCATGGGTTCTGTTACTCAGGTTAGCCATGCCACAACACGAGCAGCTGTCTCAATAATATATAATTCTCAGGTATCAGACGCCCATATAATAGAGAAGATTTTCTGGTCGAAGAGAGTCAAATGTGGAGTTGACATGACACAACGCATCTTTCCGTTCCAAAGTGATCCTTTACAGAGAACATTAGCTATTCACTCAGCAAAATAATTTCAGAGAAGTTTCTTATCTCTGCTCTTTGCTGCAATGACAATTAGCATAGTTTACAATTGTTAGCACTAGCGTTTTATATTGAAAACAGAAGGCACACAAAATATCCCTTCGAATGTACCAGTTTGGTAAGCAATATGCACACTTGAAGACCCTTGAACTCTTCATAGAGAAACATGATGGAGACTCGAAGTGCTGAGACAGCAAACATACTATCTTATACAACTCAAAAACTATCAAGATGTAAATTTTGGGTATCGCTTTTGAAGGTGGCTTGGCTACTTTAAGATACACACTCTCTTACTACATTGTTGCCATTCAGTTTTTAAACGAAGCTCACAATCCCACACGGCAAAGAACATGATGAATGATCATGATTAGTGCTCGGTATGGATGAGGCTGAAGGTAATCAGTAATGAGAAGGTTGGTGGCACACGTACGCTACTGATATCTCGCAATGCGATTTAAAAATTTGTATGTAGATAGGAAACAAGTATATTTACTTTCTTTCCATTCAGCGTAACCTCCAAACATAGCATTTCTTAAGATCAGCAAATAAATGCTATTGGCGTTTGGCATCTTATGTACGGCTGGTCTTTCAATTAATTGTGTGCTGATTATTGCGGACTCTGAAACGCAAGGCTATGTTTGGGTGAGATGCGCGTCAGCCCGTTTCGCTTGGTATTGGTTGTCATCAATTAGGCAACTGAGTTCAAATACGCCATTTGCAGGGTACATCATATGTTGACGTATCTACAAACAAGACCCACATAACAAATTTATGTGTGTGTCTTGAGGTGTTGATTCCGATGGGTTAGCACAATTTGCAGACATCTATGTAAAAGTTTTAACCGAATGTCTGTAGAAACACGACCGGTTTCGATAGAGCTCAACAAACTGAGGCCGCTTTCGTTGAGCAGCCAGCCCGACAAGGGCAAAGACAATTTTTTTTGGATACGTAAGTTTAGATAGCATGAAATCGTTCCCGCGTCAAACGGAGTAAAAGCGCATCATGATGGCAATCAGCTCGCACACGAATAGGCACTCTTGTGCGGCACCCCAGTAGATAGCACTTCTCTGTACCGGTTATTATCTGAGCGCAAAGGTCGCAAGTATTCGCATAGCCTAATCAGTATGACTGTACGCGGTCAAAATTCTAGGCCTTCCATTACGAAAAAAGAGAATTGGCGCTAAAACAATTGTCGCCGCGAGGGCGCCCAACCCTCTTATGGAAAAAGTGACTGTTAAAGTCTATAAAAGGCCTCATACATGCAAAGATCACACCGAGTATTTTCGCGCATACACATTCGCTTGAAGTGTTGGTTTAAATGGGAATATCAACTCCAGCGCTTCTAGTGTTGGTTGTAGTGCACAGTTACAGCGGGTCAGAATTTATAACCTTAGCCAGGTTGAGGCGGAAGAGATTGGTTTCTTAACTGCTGGGCGGTGCTAATGTAGCCGCTGTTGTTACATCCTATCGTCTAACATTCGCGGCCTGTGTAAATCTTTCTCTGCGTTAAGAAGTACAATGGGGTAAACTACCCCTCGTGGTTAAGTGATGCAGTGGCCCACTGGGGGAGAGCTGAGTCCTATTATACCTCGAATATTTTGCGGTTAGTGAGATCCAGACCTTAGATGATCGGATATCCCGACGAGAGCGGCTAACAGCCCAGAGTTGCTGATTGTTAGCAATGACTTCCGAGCCCTGTGCTGGGTTCCGTGCAAATACGCTTGAATGTTCAAAGATAGAAGATATGTCATGCATCTAATGCAAATAACATATATGTGCGTATCGCACCGAGGATAATCGCTAAGGTGTCAAACATAATAATATTCGATAGCGTAGTTATCTTTGTTCTTGACAAGATTTGTGGTATTATCGCATCCTACATATATCAAGACTGGAATACCATGAACCATGGACTGATTATCAGGCGAAGAAATCACTTATTTTAGCAAAGCTTCGATCAATCATAAGAAACAAATGCTTCTGGCGCATGTTAGAAAATGCAATAACTGTACACAAGATATGGGACTGTCTGAAAAGGTAAGGAGCGATATTGCAAAGAGCCAAGTGCAAAACTTGGAAGGAGAAATCGGCTTAAGCTCTGGTCTTCAGATGCGACTGGAATAGCGGCTGTCGCTAGCGCTTACATTGGTTGAGGCGATGTGGAATGAATTTCAATGATTTTCCCCCTAATTATATGAAATTAAGCGACTTTGTGCCACAGTCTCCCATGTCGTCCACGCGGAGGCGGCTCGTCGCGGCTTGTCACAAACTTGCCGCAATTGTCATATTTGGGTATATATATCGAAAGGTAAATGGTAGAACCAAGATGTAATCTTGATGGTCCAGACTTGCCGCAGTGAGTTGGAACAGCTCAGTGTACCCATTGTGCCGAGCAGTGACGCTCAACAGATTTGTGGCATGAAAGTTTAAAACTAATTGAGGTAGTCCTATGTGTTGCTAGTCGTACGTCACTTCCGAAGAGTAAAATCGTTGAGCTTGGCGAGTCATCCGATGGATGTATTCACGAAGTTTTAAAACGGTGAGATTACCGAGCTTATAAAGCTACTCCCAGGGCAAAGGGTGGTAATCCCATTATTGAGGACATTGGGCGTGTGGGATGTATATCAAATTTTCACGCCGACACTGCCACCATGCCGCAGTCTAAACCGTATGGTTCCCATCGGGGCATTAATTATTGTAATCACTGCTAATCTTGCCGTAAACGGTACTTTTGACATTTGGATCAGAAAAACGATCATATTTCTCTTACGCTTTGAAAATGAGTTGTGAGTACTCACACATATGTGTTAAGGCTGCACTTGGAGACGCGGCGAGAGTCTTTTGTTGTATCAGGTCGATCACATCCACAGCTACCTGTATTCAGAATTTAGCTATCTAGCAAAAATCTTTGTGCACTTTTGCTTGCTGAGCAAATTGGGGTCGATCCGACAATTATTTTTTTGGCATTATTCGCTACTCGGTACGGTGGGAGTAGCTCACGCAAATGTGGTCGTAAGTGCGATGCCTGTTTAAGCGTTGGGGGGATTAATTTTGAAGACGAGCGGTGAAGCTTGACAAGAAGTCGCATTGGTTAATGGAGTCTCGGTAAGTTGCTGAAAATTCTCATGCATTACTTTCGAGAGGGAACATTTTGAAGCCGGATACAGTAATCGCGCTCTCCTTGGCGACGTGTCGAGTCATGATCATCCGTAACTAATTCAGAAAAGAACTTTCGACGGCGTTTCATTTTGTGAAAATTGTAATCTAGTGGGTTTGTTGAGCTCACTATCCGCTTAAGATAACGATAACGATAACGATAACGGAAGCAGGAGCTTTAACTCACACAGTTTTTCTGCGGGAACTTTCGAAGCGCTAAAGCCTTGTGAATGATCCAGGTGAGAGCAATGTAGTCTGTGGCTTGTAATGTGAGTCCAAAAGGGGTATTTGGTGAGTGATTTCAAAACCTGTGTCTACGTCAAGATCGCATCAGATAATACTAGTTACGCTAAGGAAACTAGATCGCATAATCGAATTTCATGCAGTTGATGATCATGCTGATTAAAAATATTTTTTTCAGTCGAGTGCCGTCCAACAAGCGACATCGGCTTTCGTAGGCAGCGTCACCCAAAAGGGATTTTTAGTGCACGGTCGTACAGCTTGTTACCCTTGTTGCCAACCTTTGACGGCGCTAGCCATCCTTCAGCGACAGAACCACGGTTTCGTCATAAATTCTGGATATGCTAAGCGCTAGTTAAGTTATCTATTGTGCCGCGGTGAAAACCAGCACCAATCATTCATTTAGCGTCAGTTCAGCAAATTTTCTGCTACCTACGTAGATCACCTGACGCTTACTCATACTTTACCAGGCACCTTTGTGTTATTTTCGCAGGTTTCCTATAATGCATCGTTCATGATTGGATTTTCTGTTGCTTGAATATCTGCAAGTTGATCGGCGGTTGCGTGCATTTTGCAATTCACGAAAAACTGCCCGCCACACTCTGAAATATTTGCACCGTCGGATCACCCGTGACCACATTAATCGGCAGCTATATACCTTCGTAGTTTTCATCGCTCTTGGTTTTATCCAAAAGCCTCACTGCGCTCAGATATATCAGTCCATATGAATCAAAACGCTCATTTATGTCCCATGTTGATCCAATGCAAAACCCAAGTCTTCTTACAGCTCGACACACACACAACACAGGAGTAACCTTAACTCTCAGAAAAATAGACCGGCAGTAATTTCATTTCTGTGGGGAAAGCGTAGAGTAGATCAAGCTTTGACGACGTAACAGTCCGCCAACGTCATCGTGATAACTTCTCACTTCCTGGACGGTCGCAGTGCAGCACACATATCCAAAATGCATCGCAAAATCCAAATATCACAAGTGCACATTGCAGAAGCGTGCTCCTGCTTGATGATATTTATACAACGTTTATCATCAGTTGCTCCTATCCGTAACATTTTCCCTATGAACCTCCATGTTGGAATTAAATATGTTTTGCTAAATAGGTAAGTAAAATTCCAAACACTATTGTCTTTGCATTGACGTATGCATTTGGAATATTGCCGTGCCTCGTAGATATATCTTACGGTACCGAGAAGACCAATTTATCAGAGCGTACTCTGAAATAGCAGCAAAGGTAAATGTAAAATCAACGCCATTAATCTCGTTTTGGATCACTTAATTGCACCGATAGAAGTATATATTAAACAAAAAATAAATTTCCCATCCCGTGTTAATGGTGTTCTTTGAGCACCCAGCTTGGATGGGATGAATGACTGCCTGTTAGGAGGATCACTTTTCACAATCCATTCTCCTTCAATGCGAGCACCTCGTCTCGTAGTGCTCCATGTCATCTGTCCTCCATCTTGCTAATTATAGCTTTCTCATACTAGCTGTGCGCTATTGATTTGAGTCTCAATTATATTTCGTAAGGCTCTGTGCGCAATTTCTTGTTTTTCTCGTTCCATTTTGCATATTTTTGACCCTATGGAGTCATGTTCTATCTTGGATTGATCTGATGACAGTCTCAAATTGCGCAACCGGAGGGTGGTCACATGTGGAAGGCTGGTCCGTTATCCCAGCAAATACGACCTTGTGAGTCGAGGGTGAAGTGACTTTTTACACCGCTCTCAGCAGTGAAGAATGCCAAATTTTTGGCTGCTTCAATTACGCCTGCACCATATATCTCGCAAAACGCCATGACCACAGCGATATCGTGTCCACCCTGGCCATGCGCGAATGCGTAGACCGCGAGGTGCTGGCATGCCGCTAGAGCTTGCGGTGGAAACATGTCCGTTAATCGTCTCCAACTTCTCATCAGCGGCAGTATTGCCCTCTGTATCACTGGTCGGCGGGGTGGTGTCCACAATGGCTCCATGGAAGTTGTCTTCACTGTCGATGAGAGTGTTAGCGTCGAGCGGTGGGCAAGGTCGAGATACCGAATGAGAGCATTGAGCTAGTGATTATCGACACAGTCGTTCAATGACTTGATCAAAGCAGCCATGGGTGCTGGCACGATGCCCGTATGGCACCAACATTTCTGCATGGTGTTCTCACTGGCACCAGCCAACGAATCAATGGAAAACTGGGACGCTGTCAGAACGCCCATGCGCGAGATGTTGCCGTCGGTCTCGAGCTAGTCAATCTCCCAGTGGTACTTACACGTGAAACTATTGGTGATACCAGCGTCGAGTGGCTGCTAGAAAGATGTCGTGTTGGGCAGGAGAAAGCACACACGGACGAGCTCAATGCTATTGTGTGTTCCACCAACAGCAGCACTTTTTTGCTTAGCATCTTGAGATTGAAGTGGTAGCCATTCCAAGAAGACAAAGCGCGTCATTCATGACTTCTTGTACGCGTAGAACTTGATACCAAGGTGCTCTGTGTTAATTCACCGAAAGCAGCAGCACTTCTAGCTGCTGTTGATGACGTCGAAGTCCATCTTTTCAGTACCTGCCATATTGCAGTACAGACCGACTGCAGCGGGGCTGCCGTAGCTTTGCGCTTTGAGGAAACGTAAGTTAGAATACCGACCTTTCGTTCTATACTTAGAAGAAGTACGAGTTTAGCGGATCGCGATCCGCTTACCCCAAGCGTAAGTATTGCCTTAACATAAGGCTAATTAGCTCTCCTGTTTTAACCAAAAACTGACTTTATTTATGTTTATCTGCGGCAAAGCAACCTAATTTCAAATGCATAGATTTTTTTAAATATATAGAGTAAGATCTAAATTCATGCATAACTACTGGCTACCAGCCGCATACCGTATTCATATTTGGGTGCAGTCACACCATACTCATCTCGTGTGACACACACCCCTATTACCATTGTACGTTCAACCCCGTTACACCGACAGTGAAACGAGCCTTGTCCTTCTTGTCATCCTAGTTGCGAAAGACTGGCTGGGCAGCATGCGAAAGAAAAGGCTGGTCTCATCGAATTTGAAGACATCTTGTGGTTCATACCTCCCCGATCAAAGCCTGAAGTCCGCGGCGTTTGACGTCGACCGTAGCGAGATCCACTGACCCGGATGCAGTGCGCAAACGAATGCTGCAGCGCGCTTGAACTTATGCACCCACGAATACGAGACGTCATGCGGATAGAGATGCCGGTCGCCTTCTTCCAGCGAGCGACATCGCTTAGAGCTTGGTGCAGCTGCACAATATCCAGCAAGAGCAGCTCCAAGTTTGGGAATCGGGGCTGGCGCTGAGACGACGCGAGTAAACGTCGAACGACCAATGATCTTGCCGAACTCGGATAGTAATCACAAAGCGAATTCATAGTGACGAATATGAGGGTTTGCCATTACGTAGGCAACCATATTAGCTGTCTTGGTTCTTGTTCTTGCTCTTATATGGTAATTTTAGAGCGTCACCCCTTTTTAGGAGTCGTGTAAGCCATGTCAAGCACGTGCTGTACGATTTTATTCACTACACTCTAACCTCGCTCTACCCGGCCCGAGGATTGAACCCTGGACCTCCCGGTTCTGAAGTGAACAGCATTCCACTGCACCACAGGATCGGTGCTCTTATATGGTGGGGTAAATGCTCAATTTTCAAATACTCATTAAAATTGTGCAACTAATTATAATTATTTCAAATTGACTAGATCAACCATTTATGCTGTATGAAAGGCTCACTTCATGATTAGTTAAAATTTACACATGTCAGAAAAATAACGTCTGTCAACTTGGCGCTAGGAGAGGCGTGTGGCGCGGTTAAGCCAGAACGCTCTGTCTTTTTCTCCTCCAGTTCATTGGTCTGCATTCTTAAAATCTCTTTAAAGACTTGAGCCAGTACTAAAGCCGAAGTCTTTGAGGGTAAAAGAAGCGACACAATCAGTGAAGGAGCAGGAAAAAGGGTCTTGTAGCTGAATACTAGGTCTTATATTTGTTACGCTTTTGAGATAATACAAAGACAAGTGCAGACAGCTCGAGCATTAATAGTGAGCCAGGGTTTTGTATTTAATTAGAGTATTGAGATTTTTTTTGATAGAGGGAAATGGCCCATATTGAGACAAAGGATCCTTTTGGCTTTGTTGGCTCGCACGTAGTGCGAAAACAGCGTCGAAAGGGTGGGGATGAACATGGATGGCTTACACGTTATGACGAAACTTTGGACTGTTATACCCTTTTCGTGCCTGGAGGTGGAGAACCTCGATTGTTGGCTCGAGGAGAAGTGATGAAGTTCTTGTCGGCATCAAATATTGAGCTTTATGATAACGATCATGATGTATTTCCTCCACCAGTAAAAGATACTACTACCAGTCGATATTTGGGGGTTAAACTACGCCGACCTTATCAAGCTTCAAGTGAGATTGAAGGTGATGTAGACGAAGATGTTCGAGGCCAAGTAACAAGTTTTCTCCCTTTTGGAAATCGATATTGTGTAAATTATGAGGATGGATCGACAAGCGAATTATCGGAATCTGCTGTAATTGACGGGATGATTGCATTGATCAAATCGCCATTTTTTTCGTCCCCTAGTCGACAAAAGACTCGTAAAAAGTCAATTAGAACGAGGAACAGTGCACTTAATTTGAATGACGACGTCGTATCAGTACGACGAAAACGACAAAGGGTCGAGACATTTTTTGATCAAGATGTCCAAGAGATACCGCTGGGATCTGTAGCAATTGTTGAGAATGCGACCTCCCCGCAAAATGATGACGATGTTATAATAATTGATCAAATGAAGGTGGAGGCTGGCAGTGACACAAGGACGGAATCGGCGCCTAATATTTTACAGATTACAAATGGTGCTTTGACCACTCCTCGAGAAATTTCATTAGAGATGGCTAGTCATCCTGTGGAAGAAGATATGCTAGTTGACGATGAAGGGACGGCAGACCTTGACAGTAAAATTTTGTCGGATAGTTCAGACATTTCTAGAAAATCTGCAAGCAAAGGATCCGCTTCCGATAGTACAGAGTCAGATGCAATCGAAGCAAATATACAGAAGTCAGTGCCAAGCTACGTAATCCATAAGACGCTACACGAGGCCGTAGAACCTTTACCACGGCGCGCTATGGCATTTGAGCTGCTACGTGCTTCACTGCTAAATCTTCTTGACCGACCTGAGGTGACCAAAGTGAAGATAGCAATGCAGTATGATTTGCTTCGAAATCCTGACATAAGGGATCGCGACGCTGTGGTTCGTTTTATGGACGCAGACGGACTTTTTGTTCTAAACACTTTACTCAGTTCCTTTGCAACTGAAGTGATAGAAGATGAAAAGACGGAGTCTCTTGATGAGTCTACGGTAGAGAGACATGAGCGTGAAGTGCGTGACGATGAGCTACTTGACGTGTTGAAAATTGTGGCCATGCTTCCAACTCCGTCTCGGAATCAAGTGATTGCATCAAATATTGGTAAGACAATTAATTATCTATGCAAGACGCGTGGACCGCCAGGGCGACTTCGTGCTCTACCTAATTGTTTAAACAGCTTGGCAAAATGGATCAAGAGTTCGTGGATAAAAAATATTCCTCCAGCTAAGCAACAATCGCGTAAGACATCTTTTAACACTCAGCAAACAGCTCATCGATCTCATCAGAAAGCTCGACGTGGTGGACGTGGTGGATCGTCCGGACGTCCGAGCATACAGTTAAATAGACGGTCCAAAACATCACCGGAAGGCGAGCATTTTGCAGCAAGCAATACGGAGATCTCGAGACTGTCACGATCAGGGCAAACTCCATCACAGCTGGTACCCTCTCTTAAAGCGTCACCACTTCAATCCTTAAGTCAACGTCGTGTGAGTGGTGGACTTAAGCCAGACTGGTTGCGACGTAAGGAAAATTTATCGCTCGCTCGCTTCTGTATCGATGATAACGCTAGTGCTGATACAAGATTGTATCAAAATAGCCAAGCGCGACCGATATCTGATGTTTCAGTTGCACAAAAGTCTCCGTCTTCAGACCAACACGTGGACGCCGGTGGACCCGATGGAGTATTTGGGCGAGCACAACGTCTTCGCTTTGGCAAATGCTGGAGTACCCAAGAATTTGGCATCAACGACCCGCCCGGCACATTAAGGCAACCTCCTAAGTCAACGTATCCGATATCTTCTTACGGCCGTTCTCAGTATTCAAACCAGAGCGAATCTGTACAGGTTCCTCCTATGCCGTTTTCATCTCATAGACCACGTTCCATCTTACGGCAAATTAGTCGATATAATGATGAGCCTGCTATTGACGGACCAGGGAGCTGATTCAACCCCTGCAGAAGTTTAGTGACTGAAAGCAGATCACGAGCAGGCGAATGAAAATAAAGCAAAAAAGATTAATTGCTTGTCGTTGCGTGGTCACTCATCCAAGCATAGTACTGCACTTACAATCGACACTGCATTTAATGAAAACATTTACTTGCGCAACGCTTTAGCTGTCCATGATTCACGGAGATACGAAATGAGGTCCTGGACATAAATCGACAAATTTTGAGCTTTAGTAAAGTAGTATAAAAACTGCTTTCGAATGTTTACCTTGATGTAGTCTTGTCGTAGGGCACACGGTATATCTAAAAATTGAACGTATTCAGAGAGCGATAGCCCAATTTTATCCAATTTAGTGATCCGTGATTTCCAAAGCTCGTTCAGATCTGTACGACGCTCAAAACATCGATAGTAATCTACTAAAGTAATTACCTGTTCCGTGCATGCGCTCACTCCACGCCCATACTTAGTACGCAACGCTTTCAAGTAATTATGCTCAAGGCGAGAATTGTCTTGCTTCATATCAAGCTTCGCCACATCAAGTTTGACCTCAGGTATAAATGCTGTGTCTTTTCGATGCTTACGTTTACCTTGCTTTCTCACTCTCAAGGACTGAAGTTTTGTCAAATGCTCCGCCATTTTATTCAACGATGTCTGGATATCTTCACACTCTCGATTTCTTCCGAATAGCGGCGAAGTTCCATAAAAACTACCACTTTGAGTTCGCATGGCCTTCCCACTTGCCATATTTTCACATTTCTTGACATGCATAGCGATATGAGGCTTCAAGTTCTCACCATTGACCACCACATGTTCATCGACTGGTAACTTGTACAAAAAGCTGTCTGACGACGCTTTCGTCTCGAAAGATGATAATTTTTCCACTTGATCCACTAAATAAGTCACAATGCATTGGACTTCATCACTTTTTGTTGTATTCAACGTTGGAGGATGCATGGCTACCTTGTTTAATGTACTCGCACCGCCTTGATGAATTGTAGACCTGTCGATGTTTTCATCCACAACAAAATACTGCACATCATCTATTAACGCGCTGTCCGAGTCCGGACGATCAGAACTTGATGGCTGCAGTGTAGCACCCTCCGCGCCATCTTTAGTCGAACAACACCGTATGGGTGCTTTAAAAGCATTATCGCATGTGGATTTGTGAATCCTTGAAGATCGAGTTGGCGATGACCAATCACTCATAGGCGAATTTTGCCGTATCCAATGCTTCGTTGTTTTCTGTGGTTTGCGAGTTCTTTTCCGACTGGATATAGTAAGGCTTGTTGAAAGTGGCAACCTTCGCCTATCCGCAGATGACAAAGTCGACGAGGGTCGCATCGAAATGTTGGGACTATTTGGTAGACGAATCCGCAGATCCAAATTCTTAGCTGCACTATCCAAGTCCCTGCTAACGTGCCTCGCCATCCCATCTTTCCCTAAGGATCTTGCGTCGGGGTCAAGCATCAAACCATGTAAATACCTACTCGCACTTGCTTCAGACACCTTAGATTCACCCATGAGACCCTCAATCTTTCCATCGTGATTATTCTCATTATCACTGACGCTTTTACGGGTCATGGCGACGTCATTAAAAGTTTGATGTCTCAAAACGTCGGACGTCATATTTCGTTCTGATTCTTCATTTTTCATTGTATCTTCGTTTACACCGCCTAATGTTGCTAGTGTTTCGTCTACCACAACAGGAGCATCATTTGATATCCCTGAACAGTTCGAGGTTGACAAAGGCGTGATTTCATTGTGGTCGTTCTCACATGCATATTTTAACGTCAAGGAGTCAATACCTGTTGTGTGATGATCGTGATTGGCATTGTTGATTGTTGAATTAAATTGCATTTTAAGTGTAGACAAAGGGCGTCTACGTGCCGACTTCGTTTTCTTTATCACTGATTTTCTTGCTTCAGAGCTTGGTTTGCGCTTCCTGACAAAACCCTTCCTTTTGATTCTCACAGACGACAGCCTCGACGTTTTTTTCTGACTGGACTCATTCCTCACGTCCACAGGGTGCTGAAGCTTCTTAAGAGTCTTACCCAATTTGAAGTGTTCTGATACTGAGTTATACATTGGAAACAATCGAGACTTTTCACGTTCTTCGTCTTGCAACACATTTCGAAAGTGGCGCCGAACGGGGATTAGTTCATATGGCATAAAGATCTCGCGACTTGCAACTCCACTAACTTTTTCACTTCGAGTGTGAAAGTAACGAAAGAGACTGACAGGCGAGTTCCGTCGAGTATCGTATGTTCCAACAATGAGACCTACAAACGGCTCTAAATTCATGCTCACTGTGTTCTCTTCTTTACTAGTGTTAGGACGCTTAAAAAGATGTTGATAACTTGTTTGATTTTCGATATCTCGAACTGAAGGATCTGGCGCAAAAGCCGGATGTGAATGATACCAGCCCACGACCTCCAATTGAGCATTTTCAATAATTCCACGCACTTCAATTTCACTCCCTGGATCCATCTCTACATCAGTCGATCCGTCGTCACCGTCAATTTCAAGAGATCGACACGGAAATGCTGCCTGGATGTACAAAGTTTGAGAGTTTTCATCCCATTTACCACCTAGAAAGCCGATAATTTCGCAAGTAGCAAGGTGAGCATGAACGTCAGCTACAAACACGGCGTCAGGGTGAATCACCACTTGAAACGGGGGTTCCAATGTAGCCCCACTGCGACTACGACTGTTAGGCTCCTCAACACGATCTTTTGCGCGATAGGCAGCACACTGCACCATTGTATGCGGATCTAAATTGCCCGACATCATTTGCTGACGAATTTGAGATTGTCGAACAGACCGTGAGTGGCGTTTGCCCAATGAGCGGTCACTTTGAGAACTCATTTGAAAAACTCCGTCTCCACACTGCTGCTCGAACGTGATTTTGTATCTATCAGCAACGCTGGGTTCATTTGTAAATACTTCGTCGTCCCACACAAGATCTTGTCTGTAAGCCAATGGTGTATGCGTTTTGAAATCATTACGTGGGTCAGATGATGCACCCTTTGTCCAAATACTAGACAATGGTGTATCAATGGACTCCTTTTTCTCTGAGATCTCTACGACTTTATCGGATCTCACATCACGTATTTGCTCGGCCTCTTGCTTTGGAGATATAATCTCCTCTTTTAACACATGAACGTTCTTAACATTGCTTTGAGAGCTTAAGGTAGCGTCTTCATTAATAAGTCTTCGTTCTGCTCTCGACATTCTCTTAGAACCTTCGCTAATAGGACGCATTATCTTTTTCTTGATCTCTAAAGCACTTGACGTATCAGTAGGAGTAAGCAATTGCGTCGGCTTCGCGCAAGTATCTTCTTTTTGAGACGACTTGCGCACTAGCAGCGTATTATCTTCGGTTAACGTTTTTACAGCTGGCATAACCATTGAAACATTCTCAACTTTATTCTCGATAATCTCGATATCGTTCACTGTTGCCACTTGACTTGTATGTGTCATTTTTATCTTCCTGTCCACGTTTTTTCGCGACTTTTTCATCACTCTCTCCTCTTCAATTACCTCCTTTTCCTTCCTCACACTTAATGCTGCATCATCTGCCACGACTAGATCATCCGAGACCTCATCAAGCAATGCTTTTCCTTCCGCATCAAGCTCCACCACCTCGTTAGTACAACGTTTTTTGTCTGCTTGACCCGGCTCATCCAGAAGCAATAAATCATCATTTAGATTATCTTTTCCCTACAATAAGAACAACAATCAAAGTTACTACTTTCCTAACTCTTTCAATGTCCAAAAACCAATCTTGTACCGCACCATATGCAGCAGCTGCGTCGCCTTGATGACTGCACGTCGAAACTCGCTTTTCTTTTTAACAAATTTGCTGTTCTTACTATTCATCACTGCTCCTTCATACAAATGATAATGAGGCGTAAAGCTCGCCACAAAATTTGGATTCATCTCGACGAGAGAAAAGTTAAACTTGTCTAGAAACATGATCAGACAATGGCGTTTCGTCACATATACATCCTTTCCTTTGTTTGTTATTGAGTCAATCACTGGAGTTTTCTCTGGAGGTGGTACTGCTAATGATGCCACGATTTTAGGGTCTGTATGGATACCAGCGTTCTGCACTCCATCCCACGAGAGGAACAGCACGCCTGGCCACCAAGGAAAGCCATGAACTTTGGCCCAAACAATATCAAAATCACAAAACTGCTCTTCTACTAATGCTAACGCCTCATATCGGGCTTTCATTGCATCTTGAGCCGCTACGTCCAGCCGACGAATTGATGGCTTCTTCACGCCCGAAGCTACCATTATATACGATGAGCTTGTGGAGTATAATGAAGACCCAGGTATATATGTGGTACACATAAGCTCTGTATTTTAGGCCATGACATCAAAAGAGATTTTTCATGGAGACGGCGGCGAAAGCGTTTGAGCAGAATGTGGCGATAGAGGAAGGCATTTTGGCGACGTCAGCCCCACTGGAGATTAGTCAACTTGATCGCGTTATTTTACAGGTTTGTATTTGATATTGTTTATATGATGAATAAGGAAGGGACGAGTTAAATGGTCATGCCCAGGTAAGTGAGGGCCTAGCAGGATACCCAGATCTCAGTCAACAGACGTATGAGTTGCACACACAATTAGTGGAAAAAAAGTAAAGTTGTTGGACTTGATTGAAACACGATTTAAGGATTAAAATTGATATGGAATGGCTTGACTATGTAGAGCAATTAACGCTGCAGGCGCAATGCAAGGAATGCTGGATATTTTGAAAAATAATAAAAATGCGCTTGTGTACTTTAAAGGAAGCATTGTCGGCAGTAGGTTTTGATGAAGCTAGTCATTCTAAAGGTTTGTCAGCAGAGATGACGTGACTGACTCGCTTGTGATAGTGCTGACAGGTCAGCCGTTACCCCTGCGCCCTCCATTCTTTGGCGGAACTATGCCTGAGCCTGAGCCTGCTGCAGAAGCTGTTGTGGCTGTTGTTGAAGCGCTTGTAGCGGAAACAGCGTCAGCTGAAAAGTCGGGAACAACGTCGGCTGAAAAGGATAAATCGGTGAAGAGCGTCACAAATGTTTCGAATGATAATAAACTGGCACCAATTTTTACCAAGCAATTGAAAACTGCTCGCAAACGGTCATTGGAAGAGACAGCAACAGGTGAATCTGAAAAAGAAGAAAAACAGCCAAAAGCACAAAAAATCATCGATCAGCCCAACAAATGCAGTGCTGCACTTCCACTTCGAACAGCATTGTCGGAGGAGACCATCTATGAGTCCAAGGAGGCTAAAGAACGAGCTATCAATCCAACATATACGATTCCGACACAATGGGAACACCTGTATTTTAAACAAGTGGAAGTTATTAATGTTAAGAACCGCTTGGCCAAAGAAAAGATCCAGGCAAAGCGTTTTGCTGGCGAACCATTTGTGCTTGAAGGTCATAGTGACTGGCTAAAGTTTGCGGACGGATGGATTAAGTCAGACGGAACGCTAGATGCGGCGGCATTTCTCAAAGGTATTCACGATGTTAAGGTACCGATACTTGAGCGTAACTACGAAGAGCGCAACCCAATTAAGACCCATCTGCCATTGAGCGATTATGTGACGAACTACTGGGAGCACGGCAAGTCGGACTATTATTTGCACCAGTGGCAATTTCCGCTAGATCCCAAGGCCGGTCCTTTGCTGTGCTATAAGAGTGAGGAGCTACCTGTGCTTGGGGATAACTTACTATTGTACTGGCTTGACGCTGTGCGGGGTGACAATCCTCTGCAATATCTTTTCATGGGCCAGAAGAGTACGAGGAGTCGAATGCACTTGGACCGAGGTGGTCTCGGAATTACAATTGCCCCTATACTTGGGACAAAGCGAGTCACCATGCTACACCGTTCAGCAGCAAAGTTAGATTCAATTCATGAGACGGTCAACTTTCACGATGTAGATCTGGATGCAATTCCACAACTTGCCTTTTTACCTGCATGGCGCGTTGATGTGAACCCGGGCCAGATCTTGTATATGCCTGAAGGCACATTGCACGCGTGTGAGAACGTCACAGCGTGTTTGTCATATCACCGTTTTCACGTAGACACGGTGAACCTTCTAGCTTTCTTGCGCTCATTTTTAGCGCAAGATTCACCAACAATTAATCATGCCGAGATCCTGTGGAATGCCGCACACGATGTCATGTCTGCTATAGAGGACATTTATACTGGTAATAACCAGGTTCTCGGCGATGAAGTCAGTACGCTGCGCAAGCTAGATACGATGCGCGGGTTGCGCCATGCTTGCCGCATCTTGTCCTTAGAACAAGTGTTGCCAACAGAAGACTCGTGGGACTGGAAAAAGCTACTCGATGACATTGATAACCTCTTGGTGCGTGTTGATTTGAGTGCAAAGCTAAACAAGAAAAAGAAATCCACTTTCACAAAAGCAAAATCTGTGCTGAATGGTGAGGAAATAAATGAAGCGAAGCAAATTATTGAGGCTGCGGCAAACAAAACGAAGCTGCCGGATTCCAAAGTGAAAGCAACGGCAGCAAATACTCACTGGAATTCACTGCACTTGAAAGTTGGGGATATTATTGGCGTGCAAGTCTTTGAAAAGCGCAATCGTGCGGAGGTGCTGAAGGTAGTACACGACAAGATACTCGTACAGATTCACTATTCCGACTGGGAGTCCATCTATGATGAATTCCTACCCATATCATCTCTGTATCAGCGTAAGAAGGGCAAGAAGGTTGCGTTGAAGAAAACTCCTGACGTGCATGATACAGTAATGGCTCGTTGGGGGAGTAAAGGAGATCTGTACAATGCCATTGTGCTCAAGGTCATTCGAACTAATGCTTGCTACGTACACTACCTCAAATACGAGAAGGATTGGGATCAATGGATTTTACCTGGACACATCTTTCGCAAGTACAATGCCTAAGTGGGTAAGTAGCAGTAATAAAAGGCTCGGCATGGGATTTGTGATGTGCTTGACTCTGTTTTATTTGAAAGTGTTTATAAGTAGGAGCTAGCACATATTTGGCTCTGAAATGTAAACTTTCCCAGTCAATAAATTGATGTTCAGAGTTCACTTTCCTACCGGTTGTAGTATGCACCAGCGTAGTGGCACCAGAAATTATGGTGCTTGTGATATTAGATGTTACAGTGCGAGAGTATCGGTACCTCGAGACCATCGTGACAGCGGAATAATTTAGTCAAAGTCGCTATCAAGTCTGAATCGTTTACTTATGCGGGTGACAACAACAGTTTATTCATCAAGGGCAAAAACTCGTTTGTTGATGCAATCAGAACTACGCAATCTGAGGCTTAAAAAGCACCACCTCGCTTAAAAAATTTTCTAGTTGCTCAGTGCGTGCTTACGTCATAATTTTCTCTGAATTTTTTATATCTTAAAGAAAGCAAACGACAGAGAGACACTCGATGGGATACACTTTTGTGATGCCCCAGAACATTCTGATCAAGAGCCTCTATAAAAGTTGGATTCATTGCAAAACCTTTCATGTCAGGATATTAACATTTATCTGTTGATAAATTTCTGGACAATGTTGATATTATGGTTTAGTCGATCTTTACACACGACCGATCTTATCACAAGGATTGTCGTGGTCTGACAAGACAGTCGAATAAGCAGCGACAACTTGCTTTACTTGGATTTGACGCAAAGGTTGGTTTTCTACTTGATTTATAGTCACGTGAATCCTCTGAAACAGACAGATTTCCTTGTCGAGGATTTGTAGGAAGTCGACTAAGAGTCGGATATTCCTTTGTTACATGACAGGAAACGCTAGGTCTTTATTGACTATAAAGATCTAAAATCTTGGATGGTGCACACAGAACAACAAGAAGGCAACTCTATCGTAAGGGGGTAGTACCTGTCATAGACAGAGCAGTTCCTCCCGACTTTTATCTTCTTTATGTACCAGAACGATGTCAATTTACCTAGTATGACTGCAAATACAGGCAGTTGGCGGTATGGTCTGACGCGACGAACAAGACACAAACCAGTCATATCTCGACCAGCAAGTTTAGGACAGCAGAGAGCTGCAAGCTTGTATTGATTCATTCAAAAGCATCTAGATGGGGCGGCTAAAAAAGGCACTGACGTACGTCATAGACGGAGGCTCTAATTCGTTGGCTCATCTCAGCCACTTTCTCAAATTCTGTCAGAGCTGGACTGCTGAACATGTACAGTTGATCCCTTCTTTCTCGTTCTGCACGAGATGCCTTGTTGCACATCGGCATCAGAGCAGTTTGATCTTCTTCGTGTCAAGACTTTCTTGATGATGCTTGTTTATCTCAAAACTCTCAAGAAAGAACTTCAACTGAACCTCAATATATCGCTGGTTAACTTTGACCCGAATATGCAAATTAGATACATTTGCGCAAGCGTTAACAGGACCTAAACAACTATTGAAACAAGCATGGATTCTCACTGTAGCGCTGGATCGACATTGCTAATTACTATCCTTCCCTATTGCAATGGGCCTCACGATGCTGCGGTGAATAAAGAGATCTCTAGCTACCCAGATAGTTTTTCGTCTGTTGTGACACAGGCATCTGCGCGTTTTGTGCCATCTTTGCTCTTAGCTAAGAGGAGCGATCCCACGCCAGTTTGGCCGACAAACCTCTTCGAGAAAGCGTCGAGTCCCAGTACACGCAGTTGGAAATTTCTGAGTTTTATTGTACCTCGTTGAGATCATGTCGAATCTTTAGAAAAGCGATTTACGCATAGAGAGATAGGGCTCGCAGTCCACATTTGTTGGTTTTTCATAGCAGCGTCTCGAATATTTGATGCCGTAACGTTTCCAGCGGGTGGTGGCGTTACGAACGATATGCATCTGGTACAGACGTTATCCATGAAGCCGAGGCATGAGAGATGCTATGCATATACGATATCTGTGCGTCTTGAGATGGAATTCTCTTTTGTTGAGCTTTGACAAGTCAGAACCTCACTTCTCGCTAGAGGAAATTTGGGGCGATTTCGAAACTGCGATATCTTCTGCGTAATACATGAGAATGTTTGAACTGACCGGCAATCAAGTTTTTTTTGAATAGTTTTGGAAGGTAGAGCGAAGGATTGACGTGGCCTTACGATTAGATAAAGAGAAGCGAGTGTATACCGCAATATATCTGTTTAGAAAGTCTGAAGTAATTGCAGGTCATGAAATTCAAAGTGTATATTTGGTGGGGCGGTCAATAGAGGCCCCAAGTGGGGGGCTCTGTAAGCTAGTGCTGGTTAAGAGTGGAAATGACTGAGTATCACATTCTTCTGTACCAACACCAGTGAAGTTGAAGGCGATTTCAAGTCGCGAGCCGAAGGACCAGGTCCTGAAGTCAAGAAGAGATATTGCTATTTGTAAGGATGTATCAGTACTGCTGTGCCAGCACTTATGTGAAACGGTCTAACAATGCGGCTCAGTGAAGCCTTACAGGTTAATGTCAAGAGAGATTGTCACCTGTGAATGAAATGCCAGGGCAGTCATAGGCGTTACAAAGTTCCCCTTACTGTCTCTAACAGAAGCTAATATTATGTTAATATACCTGTAGAGATTTAGCGCTTAAATTACTCGACGGCGATGTCGTCGCACGGTTGATACCGGATGAGGAGCTGAGCTTGTCATTCGTCGTGAGCAAATATGTCCTTGAAGACACTTACAAAGCAACGAGCGTGAGAAGGGGGTATCTATTATCAAAAGTTCTGCATATCCTATATATATGCATTATCAAAGAATTGCTACGGTATCTGACGAGAAATTCACAACGTGGGGGTTCCATGGATAGAAAAGTATCATGAAATTGACTTAGTCAAGCAGATGTTGCGTCATATACAATGAAACATATCAATGGGACAGTAAGACGACGTTGATGATTTCATTCGTGAAAAGCAAGAAGCAGATTAAGTGTGAGCGAAATTTAATCTGGCCTGTCGGCGCCGAATTTCGACACAAACAAGTCAACAGCAAAGGGCGGATGTTCATTTGGTTTTGATTGGTAATCTGAGTTTCTTTCACAAACCAGAAAAATCATGTCAGCGCGCTAAAACGCCGATTCTTGAGGAAATAGTGCTACAAAAGAGTATGATTGGTTCTTTCGTTTCCTAGCCGATGTTAATAATCATCTGCCGATGAGAGACGGCGCTAAACCTCTCCTACAATGATTATTCGATGCGGGACGCTCTGAAAATGGTTAACTATGCCACAGGGAATGTCCAACGCGCCAGGTACGCTTAACAATATCCATATCATGGCTATTGACAAGCCTGTTTCAACGATATATTGTCGTGGAGCACGGATATTCGGACGTAGACAGGCGCATTGAACACTTATGATAAATGCGCTAGCGTTTGCGCTTCAAAGGTTTTCGCTAACATAGACGAGTATGGCCTTGGCGACGAGAAGATACTCTTTTTGAATAGTAAAATCAAATAGTGTGACCTACCATAGACACCGAAATGATACAAGAACACTGCTTCGAACAAACATAGAAAAGTGCCCTGACCTGGCTGATTACTTGCACACGTAGTACCGGTTCTTGGAAGTGCTAACGGCTCATTGGTATCAATCTATATTTCGGTCTTTTGGAATTGACGCCCGTTTATACCTGTAATGCAGTCTATGTAGGCCTTCTGAGTTAGTTAGCTCATCTCGCTGCTGTCAGCGATACCGATTCTGGTATATATGTAGCCAAGCTGATCTTCGACGAAAATCTTTGTAAACATGGTCCACCTGTGGAAATTGTTTCAGGTAAAGATTTGCGCCTTACAGCAAATTTATGGCAATGTTGTAAAAGTTACAAAGTACCATATTGGACATATCAACCGCTAGCCATTCGCAAAAGATGGTTAAATGGATTGTGTATATCGGCGATAGAATTCAAAACGACTGCGCTGAAAGTCCGCCTTGTAAAGTCGAGAGCTCCTCCTTTTCGTTACGTTAGTTTACTCTGCTCTTGTATCAACGAGATCTACCACCTTTTCATAAAGATATCTCGTATTCTCAGGAATCATTTTACATCACCGCAAAGTGGATTTGGTTTCTGTTTAACAGGGACTGTTGATTTGATTTGTTGATACTAGCCCAGTTTCCCCTTGCAGCGAAATCACGAATATTATTTCTATTTTCTTGAGCGTCTTAAGCCAAGTGCGTGACTGCAACGGGCTACACGTACCCTTGTATGATGGGGTGGGACACACAATATGGTGTGACCATCCATACAAGGGTGTGGGTCATAGGTGACGGTGTAATCACACAATGGCGTGTCTACATCTTAACAAGAAGTCAGTGCGTGGCTGGACTGCCAGTAGTATTTTAATTAGGTTTACTGTGAATCAGGCAAACCTAAAGATTTAGGTACTGGCGTCTTTGCCGCAAATGAAACCACAAAATACAGTTTACATTTTGAACGGAAGAGTCTGTTTGCCTAAAGGTTGTAGTTACTCTTGGAATAAGTGGATTGCGATCCGCTACAATTATAGTGGTTTTAAGTATAGAACCCAGGTCACCGACCTTAGCTTAGCTTTCTCTGAGCGAAAGAGCTACGGCAGCCCCGCTGCAGATACTATCAGAGTACAAGTCAAAAATACAACTGTAGGTACAACCATAGATTTGATTGGATGAAATTGATAATAGATTGATATTACACTACTGATCTC